TTTAATTTCAGTACTCGTCATTTTTATCATTACAGTTTTAGCATCCTGTGACACGTGCTACTCATTTAATGCGTGGTCATGCAACTGTTTCAAGATTTAAGCAATTTTTTATTGTTTTATAATCAATAAAATAATATAGATAATAAATAATGCTATAGATAACAAACAATATTTTATCTATTTAGACTGCAATATTGATTTCAGTTTACTAATTTGGTTACACTCAACATACAATGAATCGAGTTAAGTTGAGTAGTTACTCTTAAGTCCAGTCAAGAATTTAAGTAATAATTAAATTAAAGACAAAAATCGTGAGCAGGCTCGTGTTTCAACTTCTTAAAGATGCAGCTAGATAATTTCATTATCAATGTAATAAAATTGATTCATATTTACGCGTAATCTTATCCCATGATTGATTGAAATATTATTATTTTAGAATATCTTCATTTACAAGGAGTCAATTTTATATAGTCCTCACTCATAATATTTTCGGGAAAAGATAATACTTTGCGGAAACAGCCTTGTATTGTTACTTTTAATAAGGCTTGTCAAACAACTATTCATTTTGTGTATACATATATTCATCAAGTATGAAGTGTTATTATTTCTAACTGATCAATATTAAAATAAAGTAAAAATAAATATATTATTATTATTATTATTATTATTATTATGTTATTTAGATATTAATACTCGCGATCTTTTAAAATGTTAAATGTTCTGAAATAATTGTATAATATTTTATGAAAAAACCGTCCGAAATCTTTTCTTGCTTAACACTTCGACCGTCATGCCTCAAAAATGTAAAATTCAAATATCCTACAGAATCGAATTAAAATTGAAAAGTTAAATAATATAACATCAATAACAATTTCGACATTCAACATACAATGGGATAACCTTACAATTATTAATTTCCAAATCTGAGCTATTAATTCCTTCAGCCATACTTTGATGACGCGGCAAACTATTAAATAATGAAATTATCTGTACGTCAACTAACGCGTCAAAATTCGTTCTCAAATATCTGTATACTTTACAATACATATTAACCTTCGATCTGCATTGACTGGGTCGTTTTGACCCAGTATATTTAAATCGTCACCTGATCAATCAAGTTTCGGCAATTCGATTAAACAAATGAGCTTTACACTAGGAACAACACAAAAATTAACAAGTCCGCACGAAGTAACAAAAATATGTTCGGAAAGACGAATAAATGAAGTCGAGAATCGTCATAAACGTCGTCGATTTTATAATTGCGAAAATAGTCCGCCGTCCGAGGTTGCAACGTTTCAAGCAAAGCAATGAAAATGTAGAACAACGCAGACACAACTCCACGCGAAACGCATTAACTCCTAATGAAAGAGATTCCCAATCCCCATTTCTGCAAGTTCCACGCGTGTCTAATTACATCCTAATTGGCCCGTGGAAAGATTTAATATCAATGCACGAGACAGAAACCGCGACTGGCATTTACCGAAACTGTCCTGAAACGAACATGGGCCCATTAAAAAGTTTGCAGCCGAGACCGTTCTACCTGGATCATTACCGCGTTAGCCTAACAACAGTGTAGGGTCGTCAGATTAAGACACCGTTACCGCAGAACGGTTTCGTTACCACGGCCGCAGGATATCCTGCGACTCGCCTCGACTCATCCTTGATCCTTCGGGACCGTTCCTTGACGGTGCTAACCGGAGTTCGACGGGGTTTCGATGGCGGAGCTCGTGGTATTACGAAGACGGCAACGGGAACCAGCGGGTAGGTCAATTTTTTTGCGGTTTTATCAGCCGGCTGGCCGGAGGTGACAATTTGTTGAAGCCCGCGTTGTCGAACACCGGAAGCAAGTCTCTGACTCTTTGTCCGGCGCCGATGGCTGCCAGCTCGAACCACCTGAAAACACGGCGGACACGGCGCCCCGATGAAAAATTGACTTGCCTTTCTTACGCTTTAATTAATCGCGCACCTACGGCGGCCGGAGATTATCGTGACATATGTTCCGCCGCCGCGGAACACGAAATTTCATACTTTTTACCGTAACTCGATTGACTGGCGGGGTTAGCACGCGACAAAAAGCCAAGCCGGGCAAGGAGTAATGTTTTTCGAGAAAACGTTTTTCTGTCGAAGTTCTGCGCTGTTTTTAAACCTTGGATCATGCAGACCACTAGACGCGGCATGTATACAGTGTATAGAAAAGCCAAGAGTTTAGTGGAACAAAGAGAGCTCACTGATAAATCACTATGACATGGCATGGATTAAAAAGATGATCATTCAAAATGGCTGGCGTTGCATCAGTTGCTTCAAGTTCGAACCTTAGATACTATTCACTCATATCTACTATCGATGTTGCGTGAACGTAATTTTGAACAATTTTGAAAACAACGGCGCGAGCGTGCTGTTTGAAAGAGAATCAAAATAGCGATGGGAATGCATCTTTCCCGCATATGTCCCATGCATATTTTAACACTTTCGCATATAGATTAATGTCGAATATTAAAACAGCTCAACACGTCTGAAATATCGATGTCCGAGTTGAAATTTGGCACGGAGGATTAGTCCGTTTAATTATCGCATCTGCAGTGATGCATAATTGATAGAATATATTTTGCCAATGCTGCAATCCTGCATGACATTTTCAATTGTCATCTCTGCGTGGCAGTGATGAGTAATTATTACATTGCGTACCTTTGCGCAAAATAAAAATTTTCTGAATAAATTTTAGGAAGCGAAAAGTTCAACGAAAAGAATGAACCTTAAACACCTTAGCACCTCTGATACCTTAAATATTTTGAGTTAATAAGAAGAGTATTGTGTGTACGCCACTGTCCGCTCCGTGCTCAACTAAAGCCAACTCTGATGATGGGATTACAACAGTCGTTGTAGTCGTGCGCGCTAATTACCTGGTTCGCATATCTATAAATGACCAATTACACTCGGTTCGAATCCCAAATTTTGGAGGTTTTTTCAAAGTCCATTGGTTTTCGAATTTCAGGCATCAGTTGCTGCATGGTAGTTCTTTATAATATGTTTATTATATGCTTGCACCTTCCATGTACATTTTCATGCATGCTATACTTGCAATCCCGATAGTATCACCACAGCTACGTTGTATCATTTCGTAGCTGGGTGTAGCGTCGGAAATGTACATTTTTTTACTATGGCGTACCTTACCAAAAATCTGAAAAAGTTTGGAATGCTGTTTACGAAAGTATTTTATCAGGGAATTGATAGTAAAAGGTGCAATATTTTCTTTTCTTGGTTTATATTAGTTACTTATTGTCACGTTAACCAATTCGGATAATTAGCGACTTAGTGTTCTGATTTCGGAATCTTCAGATTACATAAATGTACACTGTGTGCACATATGGTGCACGATAAGCACGATAAGCCAACATAGATGACAGATTTTAGATTTCGATCATTAGAAACTTTTGGAAGTGTTCATTTCTCTTTTTTCGAACTGCTCGCTTCTATCGGAATGGTACCGTTTATTTCGATTATTCGGATCAGTCCGTGCGACTTGGTCTTTTCCAAGTATTCGATTTAGTCGCATATTCAGATAGGATCGAAAACCGAGTCTTCGATTCGCTTCAAGTTCCGATTACTCTATAATTCGAGCATTGAAACAGCCCTACTTCGGAGTTGAAATTTGGCACGGAGGATTTCCTCGAACGGTGTAATATTCGTTGATAATGCTACAAGAGTAAATTTGACCGTCTCCTCCGGCTGGGTCCGTTTAGTTACCGCATCTGCAGTGATGCATAATTGATAGAATATATTTTGCCAATGCTGCAATCCTGCGTGACATTTTCAATTGCCACCTCTGCGTGGCAGTGATGAGTAATTATTACATTGCGTACCTTTGCGCAAAATAAAAATTTTCTGAATAAATTTTAAAAAGCGAAAAGTTCGACGAAAAGAATGAACCTTAAACACCTTGGAACCTCTAATACCTAAAATATTTTGAGTTAATAAGAAGAATATCGTGCGCCACTGTCCGCTCCGTGCTCAACTAGAGTCAACTCTGATGACGGTATTACAACAATCGTTGTAGTCGTGCGCGCTAATTACCTGGTTCGCATGTCTATAAATGACCAATTATACTCGGTTCGAATCCCAAATTTGGAGGTTTTTTCAAAGTCCATTGGTTTTCGAATTTCAGGCATCAGAAGTCCCCAAAAGGTTGGTACGGCATGGTAGTTCTTTATAATATGTTTATTATATGCTTGCAACTTCCATGTACATTTTCGAGCATGCTAGAGTAGCATTTCGATAGGTCCCATTGTAGTTACGATGTATCATTTCGTAACTGCGTGGTACGATCGAATATGCACATTTTTTTACTATGGCGTACCTTACCAAAAATTTTAAATAGTTTGGAATGCTGTTTGCGAAAGTATTTTATCAGGGAAAATTAATATTAAAAGGTACAATATTTTTTTTCTTGGTTTATATTAGTTACTTATTGTCGCGTTAGCTAATTCGGATAATTAGCGACTTAGTGTTCTGATTTCGGAATCTTCAGATTACATAAATGTACACTGTGTGCACATATGGTGCACGATAAGCACGATAAGCCAACATAGATGACAGATTTTAGATTTCGATCATTAGAAACTTTTGGAAGTGTTCATTTCTCTTTTTTCGAACTGCTCGCTTCTATCGGAATGGTACCGTTTATTTCGATTATTCGGATCAGTCCGTGCGACTTGGTCTTTTCCAAGTATTCGATTTAGTCGCATATTCAGATAGGATCGAAAACCGAGTCTTCGATTCGCTTCAAGTTCCGATTACTCTATAATTCGAGCATTGAAACAGTCCTACTTCGGAGTTGAAATTTGACACGGAGGATTTCCTCGAACGGTGTAATATTCGTTGCTAATGCTACAAGAGTAAATTTGACCGTCTCCTCCGGCTGGGTCCGTTTAGTTACCGCAACTACAGAGATGCATAATTGATAGAATATATTTTACCTACGCTCGAACCCTGCATAACAATTTCAGTGATCACATGGCAATGATAAGTGGACTGCGGATTTTAAGCATTTATGGAAAAATTGGATAGATGCAATTTCAAATAGTAAACGCATTGTGAGAATCTAAAAATGTCAATGTGTTATCTTCAACCTATTAAAGCTATTGAAGAAAGAAAGAGCTTGCTATTTAGTTGATATTTCTCGCAATTGATGAACACGATTTTTATTTTGCACAAAAATCCGCAGTCTAGTGATAAGTAATTATTAGATTGCGGAAGCTTGTACAGTATAAAAATTTTCTGAATAAATTGTAAGGGATACAAAGTGAAATAAAAAATGCACCTTGAACTACTAAATATTTTGAATTAATAAGAAAAATATTGTGCTATTGTCGTCTCCGTGCTGAGTTATTAGTCAACTTTGAGTACGAAATTACAACAATCACTGTAGGCGTGCGCGCTAAATGTCTGGGTTCGCTTGTTTACAAATTGCCAGACGCGATTTACATTCGGAATTTTCGGGGTCTTTATCCTCCATTGGTTTTCGAATTTCAGTCCAAAAAATATCCTATCCCAATCATCATGGACTATTGTGTGTGTTTCTTAAAATCTCAGTGTTACTGTTTCATTGTTGTGAAAGAGTAACAATCCAACATGGCTGGAACGAATATGCGAACTGTTACGTATTTGTTCCATCCACGTTGGAAACGAACCCTTTTTACGGTAGCGTACTTTACCGAAAATCTGAAGGAATTGAAAACGCTGCCTGTGATGATATTTTATCAGGGAATTAATATGAAAATAGTGTGATATCTTCTTCTTCTTGTTTTATATTGGTTATTTATAATCGCGTTAACTACTAATCCAGGTAATTAGCGACTTAGTGTTTTGATTTATAATTTGTTGCACACTTCAAATATCGACAATTTGTCAAAGATCAAAAATAGGGTAAGAGTGTGTCAATTACTGTGCCAGCCCCTGGTACACTAATTATATTTAAAAGCAACATTGTGGAATTAAAGATATCGAACTTCTGAAATAAAATTTAATCTGTAATTTGCATAGCCGAATCGAAACTTTAACTTCATAAGGCGTATAAAATGCGGAAACTAAATTTTTAAATTTCTGACACAAAGTTCGTTGTGTTTTTGCCTTGATTTTGTTAAAACGCTTAGGAAACACGTTATAAATAAAGATGAAAGAAATACAGAAAATGGATGCTTTCCGAAACAAGAGAGTATACTGTTGTATTATAGAAAAATAATACAATATAATCGATTTCTTAGATGTAGTTTTTTATTTAAAGCAATTTATTAACTGAAACAAATTATGTCTTGTTTCTATAACTGTGACTCGATTAAGTTTTCGTGTCGTTTTCGATGCGTACGTTGATTACTGAGCAAACTCTCATGGCAAACATCGTCGTTACGTCTAACTTTGCCTTCTTAGTCCTTGAGAGAGAGAGAGAGAGAGAGAGAGAGAGAGAGAGAGAAATGTTTGTATTCTTTTCTTATTCGAATAATATCGTAAGTATTGAAACATATACATGTATGTGCGTACATTGTATATATAATAAATTATGCTGAATAATTTAGTACGGAATATTTCACGTTTTTACATTTTTGTTATAGGATTACTTATTTAGTAAACCGATTACAATAATTGAAGCATGGTAATTAGACCAGTGTTCAGAAATTGACACACATTAATTAGATCAGTATACAGAAAGTCGCACGAAGTAACTAGAAAAGGCTGAATAATTAACACACAGAAATTAACTTTTCATCTCTCTTTAAGGGTACAGTAACTCATTCAGAAACTATCTTGTCTGTTTAGTTGAATATTTTGTGTTCTTTATGTACTTCAATTATGACAAAATTCGTACTTACACCGAGACACGAAAGTATTCGAACGCTTTTTAAAACGGAATTTTTTCGAGATATTAGAAAGATAAGTTTACTAGGCAATGGCTAAAAAGTTGTTCTCAAAACTTGCAATTGGTTGGAATGGCAAAAAAGTAAAAAACTTCTGTTTCAACTTTTTTATCTAAGACTGTAACAAAAATTTAAAAAATGCCTTTCGTAGATCTCGGTAACTTATACGCGTTGTTTGTACTTATACGCATTTGTTTGTTATAATTTCTTCAATTTACTTCAATTTACTTCAAAATTTTATGAAACTGTATCAAGTAGATTATACAATATATTCAACAGTACAATAAAAATAAGCTGAATTCTATAAAAGTGTATTAACTTTTCTTTTCGACGATATATCCACTGCGTTCTTAATTACTTCTTGGACTAACCTTGAAATCCGTTTTATTAGTTCGCCTATTATTTCTGATCCTATTTGGCTCCATACATGGTGTAGTATGTTCCACATACAAATTTCGAAATCATATCGTGCGAAATAAACTCAGCGTACGTTTTCACTAAACAAAATACAGTAAACGGAAAAACTAATTGCATAGGCGACAAACACTTGCAACTCAACGTGAACTTTCCACAATAGGATGCCATCAATCTCAAAACTAAACCTACAACATTACCTAAAGTTCGTTTTATAAGTGCCATAATAATTTTTCAGGAGAGTGTACGTGTACATAAAAGCATCAACATATAATTGAAATGTTTTAAGAAATGCGATGTAGGTAAATGAAATGATTTAATTTATCGGAAATCTCAGACACAGTAATTGGCGCGCTTACCCTACAGCGTACGAATGCAATAAATCCTCTTCAATTGTCTCTCAGCTTGTAAACGAAAATAAACAATTTGGAAAGAAGAGACACGATTATACGAACCTTGCACCTCGTTTTTATAGTCGCCAATCGTAAACAGCTATAAAAATAATCGTAATTAATAACTACTACACAACTAAAAAAATAATCTCCTCTTTCCAAATTCTCCATTTTTGTGTACAAGCCGAGGGTCGATTACGAAGAATTGACTATACTTCTTACGCTGATCGCGTGAAATCTCCATGAAATCATCGTCATCGAGCGATCATCATCGCTGATTGGTCGTTGTAGCGCGAGGTATTAAAAGAACGAGCGCTTCATTTGGCCCAGTTCGGCGAGCAAACACGGGATCGGAAAGAACGTTAGAACGTGCAGCGAAACAATAATGAAACGGGTTAACAATAACGCAATTATGCGAATTATTCCGGCGAAATACGGAACCGCGCCGTGCCGCGCCGCGAATCACAGCACCATAGCCCCGTCTGGGCGGAATATAATTCGCATTATTTCGATGCGAACGAATTTCTGCCGGCCGGGAATCGGTCGACTGGGTCGTCTGTTCCCATCGAACGATACCGCGCGCGTATGATGCAATTGTTTTGTTGCTCTTTCCGGAAATGACCGCGAATTCGATCGTGCGGTATTTTCGGGGTTTCCAATTTACGCTTTACAATCGACCCGTTCGGCACCGCGCCTTTATGATTCGTAAACACGGGGAACTGTTTCGTTAGATGACACACACACCGGCTGCTGGCCTATTTTCTCCCCTGGGCTAATAATCTTCTGTCGTTCGGCCCGATCGAGCCGCCGATCGGATGCTAATGGCGGGCCGTGCGCATTGTCATCTTTCGTGAAATGGAAAACCAGATATTAAAAGCGACGCTCCGTTGCGCCGGAATGGAACGGTGGCCGCGCGACGCTGCGTTTCGAGGGACAATTGTAACGTAGACAGTTTAATCTGAAGCAATTAATACTGGCTTGTCGCATACGAAATTGCCGGCCGCGCGGACACCGCGAATGTTTCTTTGTTTGGATCTGGGATACAGTAATTACTGCGAACGCCGTGCCCGTGCCGTGCCGTGCAGCGCCGCGCCGGTTCGTAAGAATTCCATTGTGCCGGAACATCGATTCGTGGACCGGTGAAAGAACGCATCCGGCCGTGGCTAATGTCCCGATTATACAAGGATGTTTCGCGAATTCTGGCAGGGGTGAGGTGTTGTTGAAGGGTTTTTGTTTGCTTCTGTTTCGATAACGATTGAAAGAAAATTAAGGGATCATTCCACTTCGGCTCGGCACCGTTGGAAACGCGAATTACTTCGTCATTAACACGTTCCGTACCGAGCTTTTTTTACTCGAATCTTCACACTTTGATATTTTACTAAAACTTGATGTATTACGTGCAATTATTAATTCTCGTACACATAACAACGTAACAAAAACTTATCAACGCCCATTCTTGCGGTGGAAATTGATTCTTCGGTTCCAAATTTCTTGTAAACAATTTGTTCAGTTCACTAAGTAAACATGCAAGCGTGTACCATCGATGGTACACGTGGCACGGAACGTGTTAAACTGCGGATTTTGCGCAATTGTAATAAAACTGAATAGAGCAAATACAACCGAAAAGACATTAATCTGAGGATATTGTTGCATCATTTTCAAGTTATTACGATTGTTTGAAGAGTTGTTAGTGTTACGTCTAATCTCGCAATTAACAGAGATTATTTTTACTTTGCATAACGTATGTACTTTCCCTACCTCCTCTCCCTCAAGAAGGTAATAGGACACCTGCTTAGTTGGTATAAACTGTAATTTTTTATTCAGTTTAGGCAGTGGTTGCGAGTTTCGTGGCATCATATTGTCAAAGGCACATATTAAGTAATAAATGTTTATCATTCATGCAGTTGGTTTACTCAGATTTTGCGTTATCTACATTGGTATATACATCTGCGTTATTTTAATAGTTTTAATAACTTTTTTTAAATTGTAAGAAAATTATTGCTTTAACTACTTTAAATCTGCCGTATAATGCGTGGAACATGCTGCAAAGTGCATGGAACTAAATAGGATCGGAAATAATAGAAAAGCTAATAAAACGTACATCGAAATTAGTCCTAGAAGTACTAATAGCAGCAATGGAAGTAATTAAAAAACGCGATGGAAGATTTGAAGAAGATTTAAATGTCTTTTATAGAATCTTTTATAGAATATAAGAAAATATATTTATATACATATATACGCATATGTACTTCTAACAGTCTTATATAATTAAATACTTAATATATGAATAAATAATCGTGAACACAGACGTGCATCGAAAACTTTCCAAATAGAATTCAGAGCCAATGTTAGCCTTTCCGAATGACTCTAAATATAATTTCACAGATTCATCGCACAGCAGCAGCATTCAAAATTATGCGCTCGCCAATTCGTCGTCAACTAACTTCCTCAACGAATGTCAAAAGTAAATATTTCACCGTCCTCGTCGGATGAAATTGTGCTGTATAATAATCGTCAGTGGGCGTGCTTCGAAAACTGGCCAAAAGGAATACAGATGCGAGGAGAAAGTGAGTTAGCCGGCGAACAGTGGCGGCGAAGCGGTGGGGATGAAATGAAATCGTGCTTGCAGCCCCTGATAAATTGGAATTGATTTTGATGCGCGCGCGACGGGACACGCGGAGCGAGCGTTTCGCAAGCATATGTGAACACATTCATTTCCCACCTGTTGTTTTTGTATTTGGCAAGGGGTTGAGCAGCTGGATGGGGCGTTTCGGTGGGGAAATATGTGGCCCCATAAAAATCCAGACCGCGGCTCAGCAGCATCGAGGTCTCCTCCACGCTGGCCAGGGTGACCCTTATAACGGGTGGCCCCGTGTAAATCGTCGCCGGCTCGTTTTGGTTGTGAGCGTCGCTTTTCAGCTTGTCGTTGATCGCTTTCACTAATTCACAAAGCAGACATAGACTGGTCACCCGCCGGGCGCAGTTAGGCAAATGAGGGAGAAAAACGGGGGGAATTCGTTCGATCGTCCCTGTCGAGTTGGCGACTCCGTGGCAATTCGGAGAATTAGTTGGGAGAATTCATGATTTCATCCTGCGGCGCGGTTCTTGTTTCCGATTTATCACTCTTTTACCCTTCGATCCTTTCGCGCGATCGAGATTAGCCCTTTTCAAGTGTTGATTTTAACGAGACGGCACGGTTGAAACAAATATACATTTTATGCAGAGTCGGTCATTTAACGTCGGAGAGTATGTTAGCATCTCTCTTCTCAACGAAATAACTTTTTTAAACATTTTAGTTTCATTTAGTGTCATTCTTATTTCTTTTTTCTTTCCGAAGTTTCTAATTACAGTGAATTCTCTCCAATTGTCTCTCAGCTTGTAAAGAAGAATGGACAATTTGGGAAGAGGAGACTCGAATAGTTGTACCCGCTCTTCCCCAATTTTCCATTTTTGTTTACAAGCTGAGGGACAATTGGAGAGAATTTACTTTGTCAGATTTTCCGAAATTTTTGTAATTTCATTCCGGAACTTTAGCAAAGTATTTTTCAATATGTGAACAGTCGAATTTTTTTTTAATAATACTCTTGCATTATGAACTCGAATAAGAATAGATAAAGGATATTTTTTTAAAAGAAAAATCGTTTTAATTTGATTTATAAGAAGTAAAAATCAAAACTCTTCCGCGACAATTCGAGAGTTGCCGTAGAAATCGAAAGAGACGTGGAATTTTTTAATGGATTCTCTAGATAAGACATGAACCGTGGCATTACTCTTGAATAGTATTCTTGCGTTATGAACTGAAAGGAGAACAGACAAAGAATATTGTCTTTGAAGGAAAATAATTCCATCTTGTTTGTATAAGGTAATAATAAAAAGAGAAGTATGGGATTTTTTACAGGTTCTATTTGTAGTAATTAAAAAAATCCACATCTTTATCGATTTCTGCGGCAACTCTCCAATTGTCACGGACATTTTAGCTAACAATTTGATTATTTGTAATTATTCATTTTAACATTTTACCTGTTATAAATCTTATTCGAGTTAAAGCAATTTTTCCTTAAGAAGATATCCTTTATTTATTCTTATTTGAGTCTACAATGCGAGAGTATCATTAAAAAATAATTCTACTGTTCATGTCTTAATCAGAGTCTACTAAAAAATTCTCGTTCGATTCCCACAGAAAACTCTCCAATTTTTACGCAAATATATTTAAATAACCTTTCATAAATTCCGTTTAAATCAGAACTATTCCCCTTAAAAAAGATGTTCTCCAATTGTCACGGACATTTTAGCTAACAATTTGATTATTTGTAATTATTCATTTTAACATTTTACCTGTTATAAATCTTATTCGAGTTAAAGCTATTTTTCCTTAAGAAGATATTCTTCATTTATTCTTATTTGACTCTACAATGCGAGGGTATTATTAAAAAATAATTCTACTGTTCATGTCTTAATCAGAGTCTACTAAAAAATTCTCATTCGATTCCCACAGAAAACTCTCCAATTTTCACGCAAACACATTTAAATAACCTTTCATAAATTCCGTTTAAATCGCAACTATTCTCCTTATAAAAGATATTCTTCATCCGTTCTCATTAGAACCCACGATGCAAAGATATATTTTGAAAGAGTCCCCCGGTTCATGTTTCACCTAGACCCTGTCAAGAAGCCCCATATCTCTTTCGATCCCCAGAGCAAACCCTCCAATAGTTATTTGCTCACCCTATGCAAGCAGACGGTCGGTCTGCCGCGGTTGTAAAGATAAGGATCTGGTAGTGATCAGCACAGGTGAGCACCCGGGTGTCAAAAAAAAAAAAGAAGAGAAAAAGGAAGATTTCTGCAAAGCAGAAGGGCGCGGGCGGCCCCTTTAGCCGAAGCCTATCGCGATTTCGCGTGGAATACTCACGAACGGTGCCGGTGTTGAGGGGCAGCCGCGTAACTTCGACTATGGACCGGTACTTGTAGAGGGCATGCCTAATATCCTCTTCGGGTAATTCTTCGGGTACGTCCAGGACGTAGACGGTGAATGTCTTTGCGGGTCTGCACGGTATGGCGACCTGCGTTCATGAATACGAAACGTCGTATTTAGAGCCGTTTGAAGAGGGAGGGTCCTTTGTGTACCGAAAGATAAGTACCTTCTTGTAGAAGCGTGCCCCGGTGACTTTGTGGAAGCCCTTTTTGTAGACCGCCTGAAAATCGTCGATGTTGCTGAACTTGAAGAGTATACCGGTCGCCGTCTTCGTCAAGGAGAACGCGCCACTGTAATGCAAAGCGAAACCGATGTTTTATCTCCGCACCTTTTTCTCTCGTTTTCCCTCGTTTCCCCTCGTTTTCTCTCGTTCTCTCCCTCTATTTCTCTCTTTTTCCCGATCTCGACCCCGCTCTCCTCGCGCCCCATTCTCCTCTCTCTCCTCTCATCTACTCCCCGAACTTCCTATTCCCGGGTGCCGGTCCCTCCCACCAACGGTCGGTGGATTTTATCTTGTTTGCTGAGCTCCTCTATCGAGCAATTATCGCGCTTCGACTTTTCCCGGGGTAATTTCATTCCGAAATGAAGACACGGCTTATCTTAATTGTTGTGATCCGCCGGAGTTTAACCTATTAATCGAGGCGGCCGAGCGAATTCGTCGTTTGCAATGTCCGGCCTTTATTGGTTCGTTGACTGATAAATGGGAATTGTATTTAGTTGGGGGAAACGTTTCTGTTACCGATCGACAGATCTGTTGGGACGCCGCGCCAGATAAAAATACAGGGTGTTCCGCGTAATTGTAGCCACGATTTTTCGAGCACCTCCGACTGCCCGACGAGAAACTGTTCCTAACGAAAGTTAACGAGTTTTTGGTCAGCTATGGATTGCAATATAGGAAGCTTTGAAAAAAACGTTTTATTCCTTTAAAATAAACATGGTCGCTGTTATTTTTCTTCGATCGCATGGTATATTTTTCGTTCAATAAATTTGGGCCCAATCTTTCTGGCACATTCTGTATATCGTGGATATTATAATTCGACTTACGAATTATAAATTAATTTAGTCTGAAAAAGTGCAGCTCGGACTGTTTTATTTTGAGGTTATGTTGTGAACTTTTTAGCAATGTAATTGATGTAAGCTCATTATTTAATTCAGTGATTTGATACTTGAAGTCCATAATGATACCATGTTTTTCTATCATACACTCGAAAATAACGTTTTTTAAGGTTATGTCCAAAATTTATAGAATAAGGTGCTATTTTGACTTCAAATTCGGATTCAGATTCTCAAAGTACATAGGAATACAATGGTCTCTGAAAAAGTTCTCAAACTTCTCTTTCTTTTGTGTGGCTGTGTTATAGACTCAAAGAATCTTTTACATTTTTAGTAATATTGAAATGAAAACTTAACAAGCTATTAGAAATTGTAGAAAATTGAAATACAGGAAATTCTCCCTAATTGACGCTCAGATTACAGTAATGTCTCCCTAATTGACGCTCAGATTGTGCACAAAAATGGACAATTCAGGAAGAGGAGATACGACTATTTATAGTTGTTGACAATTCGTAACTATAAAAATGAACCGCAAGGATCGAATAATCGTATCTCCTCTTCCTAAATTGTCCATTTCTGTGGACAATCTGAGCGTCAACTAGAGAGACATTGCTGTGTACAGAAAAATGGAGAATTTGGGAAGAGAAGATACAATTACTATTTTTGCAATAGTTACCGAGGCTCGAATAATCGTATCTCCTCTTCCCAAATTGTCCATTTTTGTGCAGAATCTGAGCGTCAATTAGAGAAAATTGACTGTAGTTCGTCCTTATCATTCAAAAATAATAAAGTGGAAAAAAATAATGGTACTAAATACGAAACATTGATATCAGAATTTTCCTTAATCCTCGAATAGCCAACATAAATAAGCGACGCGGTGAGCCAACATCGGGTCACTTTTGACCCGTAGCTGAATTTTTCGTATACTTGCTTTGCAACTAACTTTTTGGTACAGGATATTATCTAACGATATTTTATATTATCTATAGGATGTTAAACATATGTAAAGTTTAATAAACATATTTTCAAGTTCCTGGTCAACGGTGATCCGGTGTCGGCTGCGCGAGGTTTAAAGTGAACGTTTGCTTTTATCGTGTTGTGGATTACGACGAAAAATTACTGTCGCGTTAAACGATCATTTTAAACAATCTTATCAAACAATTTTGTCACCTACATCAGTAGTGACAAAAGTTCGCCGTATGAGTGCACCACCATATATGAGTTTGGTACATTGTTTTTACGATAATTTAAGGATATTTTTACATTGTTCTCAATTTACTAATAGTATTAAGACGATTCATTAATTTTTAACTATCTCATGTTTCTTCCATCTGATACAAAATATTCTTATTTATTATAGAACCAGATCTTGTATAGATTTTGAAGGAATATAGAATAATGAATGATACAAATGATAGGTATGATGAAGAAAGGTATCAAATCATTATCACAAGTCTGACGAAAGTGACGATTTCTTTGATTATTATTGATGTTTATATTATTGACCTTTGTCCTGTATCATTTCTGCTTATCAACGAATCAATGAATTAAAACTGTAGATCCTGTAATCAATAATGAACTTTTCGGAAATCATTGGACAGTTTTGTCGAAATTGATGGCAAATTGACCGTGTGCACTGTAATGCAGCCTTGTAAGTGTACTTCCACGTAATTAGGCTGCGATGATTAACGACTGCGATCGGCGCATTTGTTTCAATATTGTCGTTTGCGGGCCGACTAATTCGTTTCAATTATCGCGCGAGCTTTGGTGCCGTGCCACACCGAAACACTTTGTGAGTTTTATTCTGTACGCAACAATCGAATACTCGAATTCCAGTATTTACTGCAACCCTCATTTCATACGATAACATTTGTACTTGTTTTTGGTACTGTATACCGCGAGAAATTTGTTTCGTATTTAATGTGCGCTGAATCGAGAGAGTTGGGCAAAATTTTATTCGGGCCACGGATAAGAGATAAGGATTAACGAATAAATGTACGATCGAATAAAAATTTAGCCGGATAACAATTTATCGGAATAAGATTTTATTCGAATGAAAATTCGTTTGGATACGAAGCTTATTTGGTATTCGAATGAGAATTTATTTGTTCGGGAATTAATTCGGAACATAATCGATTCGAATAAAAATAATAGAATATAGTATTTTCCATAGTTTATTGATTAATTTCTTCCGTGTTAATTTGTACAATTAAGTTTTCTTTCAATTGCTGAATAAATTCGAATAATTTATTCGATCAAAAGATAAAGAACTGTTGGAATAATTTATTCGAATAGAAAATGAAGAATTATTCGAATAAACAGATGGAATAGTTTATTGCGAATAATGAATAATTGTTGTTCGAATATTATTCGACTAACAAAAATTCATTCGAATAATTATTTTAGATAAATATTTATTCGAAACAATTCGAATAATGTCTAACTCTCTGGCTCAGTCATTGATATCGTATGAATCACTTTTTCGTAATCATTTTGAATTTATTGAAATGTGGAAAAATTATTGTCATTGTTTTCCTTATGTATTGTGATGGCGTCTTCAACTTCGTCTTTAGCATTTCTTTTATATATTTCTTACTTTTCTATGGTTATCAAACATTATTGAACAATAAATTATACCAACAATTTCTAAAGTAACTACCGTGAAAATATATTGCTTTTGGTGAGTTGTTCAAGGGTTAATTTATAGATTGCACATTCTGTTAATAATGCACCATAGCAAGAAATGATTCGATGCCGGTAGATATAAGGTAAAAGTGTATGAAATATTATTTAATCGAGGAATGGTGTTCCCAGGTGCAGTTTCTAATGTGTCTGACCAATGCTCGCTATTTCTACTTGCAATATAAATTCATGATGGTATGACTCATTTCCATTAATATTAGAATTGCTGAGTAGTAACAGTATGTATTGCCATATAAAGTAGCAATATTGCATTTATGTAGCCCCTACGCAGTTTATATTCTAATATATAATATGTTCGCGTCTACAACAAAATTTAATAATTTTCTACGATAGTCAAACAAGTCAGTTTTGCATATTGGGTGGATTGTTGACGATATTATTGGTTAATGGTTAGGTCATT